TTGAGATTTTATATATAAATTTATAAATTTATATATAAAATTTTAATTTTCAAAATGCATCAACTCTTTATAGTGATAAGATTTTGAAATGAAATTTGGCAAAAATATAAAGCTGATATAGCACTATAAAATTACTAGTCAGATTTTTTTAAACCTCTTGGATAAAAAGTTATAGCTATTTAAAAAATTAAAAAATTTCGTATAACTATTAAATATAGGCTACTAGCACCATATATTATTAAAAATATATAGCTAGTTTAGTGTACATTATAGTAAAGATATATATACTAAATTATATACCATACTTATTTTTTGTAACAAAAACCAGATTTCTTTGTTTTGAGTCTGTACTTCTTGTAAAATATTTTTAAAGATATGATCAGTTGTATTGTAAAGAAATATGAAATTGTTACAAAGTTGTTTAGATAAAGTATAAAATATCATATTATAATTTAGCTAAACCAATTTGTAATGATTTTAGTAAAAATTTTTATATTAGCCGATTTGGTTTAATTCTAAAATTAACCAATCATGATTGAGAATTATTTGTCATTAGAATTTATTACCAAATAAGTTGTTACAAAAATAGTCTTTTAAACTTACTTTGAATTCATAATTAAGTATATAGAATATTGCAATATCCATATGTTTAATTATTAGTTAAAAATAAGTTAAAAAAGCTATTTGTCTCAAAAATTGCTTTTAAATTTACCTTTACCCATTACACAACTACTCATTCTCAATAACAAATCAATTATTTACTATCTGAAAATATCCAAACACTTCAACAACTAGTGATAGTACTTTTTTTTATAGTTTAGTATAGCTGTATTTTAATATTTATTACTTATTTATCTTATACAGAGGCTAAAAAACTGTTTTTAATGAATGTTTCATTTGTTATTCTTTATATCACTTAGTAGCAAAAGTTTGTATAATTGTTTATTAAAAAAGACCTCTAAAAATCAAATCAGTAGATATGCTTAATTAATATTATAGGTCTAGTATGATTAAGTTAACCTGTAAATATAGATTTTTGAATATCAAATATATTTTGCTATATTTTTATATAATTAGAATGCTAGAGATCTCTAGATATTTGTTAAATAAAATTTTTAATAATTTGATAATATAAGAATAAATATGTTTGAGCATTTTATTGAAGATTAGTAATAATTTTGTAACCTTGTTATTGAGAGATTGGTTTATAATTAAAGTTATTTTCTGAGCTATAATAGGTTGGGTTAGTATATAATACCAAGATAAATCTATATTTTGTTGTAATACATATTTTTGTTTTTATTACTTCCAAAATATGAGATTATTTGGATTATGTTTTATCTAGTTTTTAAATAACTTCATAAGTGATTTCAGATCTCAGAGATCTGTGATAATAAAATTTAGTAGTTTAATATTTTGAAATATTATTGTGTCTGTATATCTATTGAGAATGCTATTGATCATTGTTGTTATGTGAAATATAAAGTTGTTGTATCATTTCTCAATGAATTGGTAAATGTGTTGTGAGAAAGCTTGTTGGTTTTTTGTTTTTCATGCATGATATAGGATTTTTTGATACATCTTAATTATATTAATAGTTTGAGTAATATTGTTTATATTAATATCCTGAAGAGATAAATTAAAAAATTATATTTTAAAATTTTTTATTTAACAATACTATAATTAATATATTGTATTTCTACTACTATATTACTTGTAAAAAGATATATTATTTATAATATTTATTTATAAGCATATTTAAGTGAATATAATATATTATATACTTATTTGCATCAACTTACTTAATACAATTGATAAAATACATGTACTATAAACTCTAAACCTAAATACTGTCTTATTAACTAACTGCGAAGTTGTTATATGCAATAGTTGGTACAAACATATTTTTTCTTTATTTATAATAAAAACGTAAATAACTAATTTTAAATAATTACATTACTTTGTTATATATTGTACTGCCCGTAAGATGATTTACTAAAATAATAAAAAACATAATTTTAACTAACTATAAACGACTTTATGTAAAAAAAAAGATTTAAAAACATATAGTATCTATAAACAAATAAATCTTTTAAGCAATAATTAATAATATATATTTGTATTAATAATATTCGTTACTATCAACATTTTAATTATACACGCAATTCTAGTTTATAAATAAATCTGAATTACATATATAACAGTAATCTGAATTACATATATAACAGTACCGAATAACAAGTAGCATAAACTTTATAGGATTAACGAATTAGTTACAATATACAGCCAACGTACAGTACATATAAGCAATTAAAATCATAAATGGTTTTTATATTTTTTAGGAATCGTCAATTAATCGGTGCAAACCTTATCTTTGAAAGCTTATAAATGTTGGTTATGGTGTTTCACTATTCTGTTTTCGATTTGTCTCCGGTAGCTTACGGACTTTACATACAAAAGAATCAGTATCTAATAAATGCAAAATGAAGCTCTGAAGAAACAAGTAAAAATAACTAGGTGAACTTTGTCACACACTTAAAAAAGGTGTGAATGTCTTCAATGCACTTTATTCCTTTTGATTTGTCTGATCACTTTTTTTCGTATCTGCCTCTGAAAGCTCCATTGCAGCTTGACTCTCAGTTTCAGTTTTAGGCTTTTTTCCAGGACGATCAATGTCCAACAACCTAGCATCCTTTTCCACAATCAGACTTCTTAACCATTTGACTTCCATCTCGAGTTCTTTTATTCGATTTTCAAAAGCTTCTGCCTTTGAAGTCATTTCCTTTGCAGTCCTCTCAAGCGCCTGTTCACGCATCTTCTTCTTTATGCGGAATCTAGCAGATGCCGCAGTGTTACGTCTTCGTTTATCTTCCTCAGCTGCTAATTTGGCCACTACTTCAGGATCAAGCGATTGCTTAGAATCAGCATCTTTTTTTGTTATATCACCAGATGTTAGTTGACCCATTTTTGCCGTCGAATTGTTATGAGATGGGTAGTCCGTAGTATCAGTAGTAACCTTTAGAGTGCTTGTCGACGCTGGTGTTACTGTTTTCTCTTTAGCAGCATTCACGTCTGCATGAGAAACTGGATATGTAGGAGGAAAAGTCGTGCTAGTTAGTGCAGTGGTAACGGCTGGTGCAATAGTAATAGGCCTCATGCGTGTGGTCATGAAAGGGTTTGCCGTAGGATAAGTAAACAGAGGATACACTGTTTGTTGAAGTCGGGACGAATTGGAAATAGGCGATAAGTCGTTCTGAACAATCATAGGTATATCTTGATCTTCAAATACACCTGGAGATGCTTCGAAATCATTGTCCGGAAAACCCATTCCATATGAAACATCAATAAACTGCGCGTTGGACCAAGATTCTAAGTCGGACTCAAAATCTTCCTCTCGGGTAAAATCTGACACCATGGCGATCGGAGTCTGCAAGTTTAGTTGTGAAATGTACGAATTATGGGTGTCATTATTTGAAGACATGTTTTATTCGATTAATTGAAAGGTAGAAATCTAATGCGAAAAATTTTTTTATAAATGTGCAAAAAAAATCTACACTTTTTCATAATTTAAAATTAGCCTATATATAGGTTCTTGCTATCAAAATGACCTTACGCGAATGATTTGATTCTTTTCCGTTTATTCGTAATTGTAGTAGCAAAAGGTAACACAGGTCACCAAAAATTATACGTATTTGTCAGCTATCGATTTTTCTCTCACGTTCTACGGTACATATATGGTTAGTGTGCAAGGGTACGGATAAAGGATTGCCGTATACACGGGACAAATTCGGCTCAAATTTTATTAAGATCACCCTTTGGATCTTAAATAAAGATGTTTAAAATTTTATTGTCTTGTTGATATACTTGATATAGCTTGATAAGTTAAAAATTGAGATATTGTGGTCTCTTGGGCGGGGTTGGCAATGGAGCCCAATGGAGCTGCGAATGGAGCTCCATTCACACAACCATTGGCTCCATCGCCCTGGGATGTCGATATGATTTACCGTAGTGAAAAGAGCATAGCGGGATTTTAATTTGATTGGATGATAAACTCAATTTGTTCTACATAATGGCGTAACGTTTTACAGTTACAAAAGTGGATTTTTAGCACGGATGCGGATTGGTAAAGCTTGGGAACCCAAAAATATGTTTTATAAACTGTAAAGTAATTCAGTAATCCACAAAGAATTTCGGAAGTTAAATGAGAGGTATGTTTAGACGTTTAGGTTTAGGCTATGAGTACAATAATTCAATTTGACACAGCAATTTAATCTACCTTTCGTTTGTGAAAAACTTATTCTTCGTAATCACAACTAACAAAAATACCTAACTGTAATATAGGCTAGTAATATGAAGTTGCAAGTTATAAGGATTATAGATTTCATGAGAAGAATTAAAACAAAGTAATATTGCAGTTTAACAATTATTAAATAGATTAAATAGTAGTTCGATATTAGAGCAAGCACTATAATTAAATAATCTTTATTAATGCAGTAGTGTTTTAGAATAAATTTAACATTTCTTTCTCTTTTTTTTTGATGCATTGTACGCTGGGATTCTTTAAAAAGGTAATAAAATTTCGTTTGCATCAAAATTTTACGTAGAATTATAGTTTTAGGTTTAGAGTTAAGATTTCACGATAAATATTTCTACTATGTATGTAGTATTAATTTAATTGCACATACTGTATGTATAATTATTTTTATACTATTCTCTTTTAAACCATCTAATATACAAATTTGTCTATTTAAATTTTTTTGATCCATTATTGTAAGATTTTTTTAAATTTTATTGTTTTTATAATCTTTTAATTAGAATAAACAAAGACACTACATACTAGTTGTTTTATAATTATTATCTTGCAAAACTTCAATAGTATTTCAAAAATCTTTTAAATATAGTTGATTATAATATGATTTTTATAATTTAGTAAATAACAATTATAAAGAATTTTTATAATTGTTATATAGAAATTTTTTTATAATATTAAAGTTGGTTAAAAATTTCTTATAATTAATTTACAAATTTATTTTGTAATTATAAAAAAATAAAATAATTTAAAAAAATAAATAAAATATAGTAGTATATACAGTATATTATTTAAAATTATAGTTTAACTCTTCCCAATAATCTTTTGGTTAACAATTTCAAAAAATTGAACTACAAAAAACATTATAGAAAATATTAAAAGTAGATAATATTCTTGGTTCTATACAAGTAGGTGTATTATCAATAAAACTACAAAATATGAAATACTAAGAAGCAAAACATGCTTGAAAAGAGTTAAACTTTGGTTAGTAAATTTTTTTATATATTTGGTATCTAAACTAGAAGGATATTTTGAGAATGCAGAATGATTAGATTGATATTAAGAATATTAAAACTAGAAATTATCTCTATATAACTATATATTTTACAAAAAGCAATCTACAAAAATCTTATTAGTCTACCATTTTTTTGAAAAAATTTTATCAAAAAGTGGGTATTTTAGCTTATTCTTTTCAAAAGATTAATATGCAATTTTTTAAATTAGTCAATATTGTTTACTTACTAAAATATAATATTTATTTATAGTAAATATAGTAATTAGATAGATTCAGATAGTAGTGTAGTTATATTGAGATAATGAATTATGATTGATTATAGTAAAGTTGTAATTTTTTGGTAGTGTTGACATAGATCATAATTCTGGTCATATTAAATATTATATTATAAACTATAATTTTTGTATATAGTATGTTGTATATCATGCAATAAATTATAATTTTAGTAATAAAATAAGATCATAATAAAATCACTATCTAAAAAAGTTTCAAACATTATATGGCAAATATATTAAGCATCAAAATTTTATTTAACTTGAATAAAAAATAAAAATAATAATGATAAGCATATTTGTTTATTTTGAATAAACTTAATAAACATAATATTTATTACAGCTAGAAAAGTATTTTGATTATAGTTTTATAAATATTTAGAATATTTTATTGTCTTTTAAAATAATTATAATCCTCTTTCAACTTATGCAATAGCTTTAAGTTTTTATTAATACTATTGAGCTATTTGTTATTATTTGAATTTATTATATTTTTTTTAATAATTTTTTTGTTATATTCTGAATTCAAAATTATAAAACTTTTTGCTTAAATAAATAATCAGAGTTATAGTTTTTCAGAAAAGTATTAAAATAAAATCTACAAGGTTTTGGTACAATTACATTTTCTTGATTAATTTTTATAATTTTATTTCAACTTCATTTTTTCATTTATTATTAGTAAAAATTTGGTTATAGCAATCAATATATATTTTTAAAATATTAATTTTATGTTCTTAAAAGAATTACCCAGTTTGTCTAGATAAAACAATTACTTTTTACTTTGAAGAATCAAAAGAAAAAAATTACTAAATTAATTAATATCTTATTATCATGATTCTAATTATGATAATTTGACAATATTATAATTTTCAAAACTTTTTTGAATAGTGATTTTATTCTAGTCATGAAATAATAATTGATAATAATAATTGTTAAAAATTAATTGGTTGAATATATAATTAGTGCTAAGCACTAGTTATGTAATTTGTAGACTTTTTACAATAATTTTATATAAAATTAACTGCCATTTTTTTGTATATAATAACTTATAAAATACATATACAAAGTAATACTATATTATGCTTTATAGTACTCAATATATATAATAAAATATAGCATATATTATCCCTTAAACTGTAGGCTTTTCTAGACAAATTTGCCTGGAAAATTATTATAAATATAGTTATAATCTACTTTTTTTAAAATTTTAACATATTTAAATAAATTTTTTTTTGATAATATTTGAAAATAAAAATTATATTATAGCAGTATTTAATTTTATATTATAAGAAAAAAAGTCTTAGTTACTTAT